TCGATATGAAGAGTTGTTTTAACTTATTTGGGCTCTTTTATTTCAGGTATTTTAAAGCTCACCTTTACAGTCTACTTCTCACATTTGAGAAAAGGCATTTTCTCTTATGATTTAAGTTTACATTTTGAGTCCAAGATCCTTTAGGTTTACCTAGCAATTTGGAGTTAAAGCGAGCCATCATGCTAATTGCAAGGAACAGCACAGGTTGGCAACATTAGCAAAAACAAACTGAGTGACATGGGACAGAAAATTAAAACCAGTTTTTAAATGCCCAGTGAAAACAAATAGATACGTCTTGTAGTGTTTCTTCTACAGCAGTTTATAATTACCGCTCTGCAAGGCCTATTTTAAGTGAACTTGTAACAGTAGCTCGAGAGGTAAACTACAATGGTAATGGACCCAGTTGTTTATCCAGGGAGCAGAATGAGGAAGGAGGTGCTGGGTGGAAGCAAGGGCCAGGCGGGCCCTCAGCAGAGTGCACGCCAGTGTCTTAGTCCTCAGGTCTCAAGTCAGCCATGGGAAGCCTTTGATTGCACGGAATCAGTTAGCTCTTGAGAAACAAATGACCCCCCAGTCTGTGGCTAGGACATTTATTTTTTTCAGTTTCTATGGGTGAGGAATCCAGGGGCGGCGATTTGGCTGGGTCCTCTGGGTCTGCGTCTCTCACCGGGCGACGAGAGTCAGTTCACGACTCAGCTGAGAAATAGTCTCAGTCTAGCACACGCACATGATCAGACTCATTTCCTTGTGGGGTTTTGAACTAAGGCATCAGTGCCTTGCCACACAGGCCTCTCCATAGAGAATTTTAACAGTGTGGCACTTTGCTCCAGAAGCAAGAGAGAGAGTGCTAGCAGCAAGGGAGTCACAGTCTTTTGCAACATAATCACAGAAGAGATATTCCATCATTTTTGTTATATTCTCTTATTAGAAAAGCAGGAAACTAGGTCCGGCCCACTGCCTGGGGAAGGGAACGCACAAAGGCAGCAGAGAGAGACAGGAGTTATTGGAGCCAGGTCAGAAGTTGCCTACCACAGCATGATGCCAGCATTCTCTTTCCTGCATCAGACTGGGAGGCCTTTAGAGAATTGTGACATCAATATCACATGTATTTTCAATGCCAAATACAGCTTTTGGGGGCACTGATTTGTGGGCATTGAATGCGATCCTCTTTACGTATCAAATTGGCTGATAAGTGCTAAGCAGGGCTCACCTGGGCCCCAGGAGACCCAGGAAACAGGTTTTCAGGAATGGCTGAAGGTAGTGCCCTGTCTGAGGTCAGGAACAGAGTGAAGATAAGAAGCCCTTGTGGCCTTATTAGCATGATACTCCAAACGCAGAGAACCAGAGGGCCCCTAGGTAATATTTCATTATGTGTTGTAAGTTTTTGATTGGTACTTTGCAGACCATTAGGGGGAAAGGACCCTCTGGTTTGATTTATGAAGTTGCTATTAAGATTGTGGCGTGGGAGGCTGTGCTGGTTTTAGTGGTCCCCATCCCCCTATTCCCAACTTCCTGACTCCAAGTGTGCATTTTCAGCAGTAAACTGAGTAAAGGATATGATTTTGGATTATGTGACAGATATTTAAGATATGAGTTGAATTTCTCATTTTAATGTGACAAATTCTATTAGCAAAACCCATATAGCTTTATAGGAAGAGTTCAGGCCTGGGTTTTCCTCCCCTCATCTTGGTTGCTAAGTCTCCAATTTGGGAACTTGGGGACAAATCGTTTTCATTCTACTGGTTGCTGTTGGTTAGCTTCCGGAGGACCTGCAGTACCCGAATTAGGTTCCCTCTGATAAGCATGTGTAGGATGCCCCTGCATTCCCAGATGAAGCTAACTCCCTGCCCACAGCTGTGCTGGCAGTACAGGCCAACATCAGTTAGTTCCCACACGGATCCCTCCTGGTGTCCGGGACTGTGGTTCATATCTGCATCCCTGGCTGGAATAAGCACAATTCGAAGACAGGAAGCAACATCTTTGCCTCCACAGCACCTAATAGGGAAACTGGCACATAGTAGGGGCTTTAAAAGTGTTTGAATGGGTGGACAAAGCTGCAGTGATATATAATGCATGTTAGTAATTATTCACTATTAGTTTTCAAATGTCCACTATAATTTCCTAAGGAAAGCAGCATAAGGACTTAAATTTTGTCTTAACTAAGATAAAGATAATGTTGGTCATTATTAAGTGATGTCTCTAGATTCACAGGGATTGATATCACATACCTTCTGGCAAAAACAGGCACATTCGAAGTGTTTACTCTCTCACGTCCATCTTCAATTCTTTTCCTCATAATTGATCCCCAGAGGATTTTCTTTGTAAACTTACTGTATGAATATTACATGTTCCAATTCCTGTTTGTGTTTTTAACGCTCAATCCTTGGCTTTTTGGTATTACCTTATAGCTTCAAATGTTACTAATAATTAATAATCTATAATTATAAGTGATGTAAAGGCATCCCACATTAGCTAGCCAATGGCTGGGGTTAAGATATCTTGAACATATCATGGAATGAGGCCACATTCCTACTCTTTTAAGCCTTGCATAAAAATATTGTTTTTTGCTGGTATATGGGAAAAGGTTTTATGCTTGTGGGGTTTTTTTTGTTTTTGTTTTTTGGAGCAGTGAACAAGGAGCCCAACTTACTGACCTAGCAAGGCACACCCACTGGGATTGGCTCTGAGGATTAAGAGTTGACTTGATATGCCCAGCTCAGAGGTTGTAGAGTATTTGGTTTAATGTAATCTGCATTGTGACCTCATGTTATGTGTTTGTATTCTTTATTTTAAAGATCTTATTTATTTTTAGAGAGGGGGAAGGGAGGGAGAGACACATCAATGTGGGAGAGGATGTGTTTATATTCTTTGTTCCTCATTTTTTCCTAAGGATTAGAGTATAATAGGCAAGCAGAACCGTAAGGCATCGTCAGTCACGTTATTGTTACAACCTTTCTGATGAGAGGAGATGAGGTGCTAATGGAGAAGTCTGATGGGAAAGAGCTTTTTATTTCATATAAGTACATTTTATATTCTTAATTCGCAGAGAATGTAACTCATCCAGTAGCTGATGCTAACTGTCCCTCTTTGAGAGCTGGTAAGAGAAAATGCTCTTCAGTTTTTCCTGGACAGTTTATCATTTGTTGCTGTTTAGTTATTACAGTGATTTTTATGTCCTAGATTTATAGGCGTTCTCCTACATATAAATCTCAAAGACCTGTCCTAATTCCAAGAAGTTCCCCCACTAAACGAATTAAACATTTGATTCTGCCTTGAGCCTGTTGTACCCTGCAGTGTCAAGGAAGTCAGTCAGTACGCATGGCAATCAAGTTTGTGGTGAGTTCATCACAGCTCAGAAATCCATACGATGACAGTGTGAACATCCATGTGTCACTTTACCACACCACCTCCAAGAACCCATGGTTCTTCTAATGAATTAGAGTCACCTATGTGTACTGTATCTGTGATGAACATTTGCACTTGGGGTCCACAGGAAGGACACCATTTCCTGGATCAAACCACAGAGTGCAAATATTGTGCCCTAAATAACACACTAGTTACTGTAAATGTCAGTAGAGGGAGTTTTTCTGACTTTGATTTAATGAAAGCCTACAGCAAAGCCAGCTGTTAACACTTCTTAACTGCTTGTCAGAGTGAACAGGGGAGATGGGGAAAGCCGAGAACATCTTTTCCATATACTTTTATCTTAGAATTAAAAGTTTTCAACAGGTGTTGACTAGCAATGCTAGGGGTTCTTCCCAGCTTGGTGTCTTTTAGGTGGTGAATTTATAAATTCTCCTGCAGGACAGGGATCTGGAATTACATGAGGAGATCTGTGTAAACTTAGTTCAGAATTTGCATCTTGAATCCTCTCGCCTGCAAAATAAGCATTTTAGTTTCCTGGGCGCCCCCTGAGGGAGCGCAAAGGCACCCCAAAGCCACCGCCCCTTTGTCACTGAGGACATTGCCACACGGACTGTCAGCCATGTGTGTTTTGATTGATGTCATCTGCTCTGTCTGAACAAAGAAACCACTTGAAGCAAACACATAGGGAGGAAAGTATGCAGCCCTCATTTCTGTAATTTTTGTCATTTCTAGAATGTATTAGTAAACATATGTGATCGCTAATGGTCCTACTGCCTTGCCTTTGTAAATCCCTTTGATATTACGCTGTGTGTGCTCAGGGGAGATAATCTTTCAAATGCAAGAAGAGTTTACAGTCTTATTATCTTGAAGAGGAGAAGAAAGTTTCTTCCTCAAGTGTTTTATAACTTGAAACATGTTGTCATGTTTTGGTAAGCCCGCTTTATTAATTCCATCCTTCTCTGTGGCAAATTTTTAAAAATAAATGTACCATTGCATAGTACTTTCTCAATAACATATTGTACTTATAAGAGCATGATGGAAGTTGCTGGGCTCGGTTTAGTCATACAGAATGTGGAGCCAAGTTCTGAGTAAACCCTCTAATTGAATTACCTGCAAAGCACTGACAGACAGGCTTTCAGGACAGACAAAGCTTTACTTTCCCCAGCAGAAATAGGTCATGTTTAAGTTGGCCTTGTAACTATCTGGTATTGGTTTCTGCCAGCACTTTCACCTTGGGCTCTGCTGGGCCCCTTTCCTTGCAGCCGAGGAGGCGGGGCTCTGTGAAAGCAAGAGAGCTCAAGCATTATCTTCTTATTTTAGAGAAAATTGATAACAGATCAAGTTAAATGGAAGAGCCTTTGAAATAAAACCCGAAGTATTTTCTGTAGATTACCAACATTCTTGCATGATTCTTTCTTTATTGTATTGAAAAGAGAACACAGGGGTAGATAAGTAGCCCATTCTGTAAGAGTCTATATCAATCTGAAAAGTAGTTTTTGTTTTAACTTCTGGGAAGAATTGGAGTATGCTGCTCTTATTCAGAAAAAGAATTTATTGCAGGTCATTTGCATTTGAAAGTGAAGAGTAATCCGTTGTTCTGTCCCTTCTCTCCGCCCTTTTTGTCTTGTCCACAGCCTCTGCAATCCCAGATAATGGAAGAAGGTCCTGTCTAAAGCTCAAAGTGTTTGTGAGACCAACAAGTAAGTTCACTAGAATGAGCTTCAGAGGGTGGCTTCCCTGCGCATGCTCTATTGTATGGTCTGGTTCACAGCGGTAAAACTTTTTTTACTGTTAAATCCTGTGTCGTATCCGTTTTGTATATCAACATCCATGTTTTAGTTTTCATCAGATTTTTTCTCATCATTCTTCACGATGCTTTTAAGTACACAGCAGTTGCTAACTTGTTGTTTCTTAAACTGTTGTATGTGCACAGCAAATGGGAACAATATTGGCATTTGGAAACGTGCCATTGATTGTAAAACGATCTCTACATAAATGCAAGGAAAAATAGAGAGAAAGAAAAAAAGAAAGAAGCGGGAGTTTAAGGGTGTCTGCACTAACATATTTGGCTGTTATCTCTATTTTTGTTATAGATAGCTGTATGAAAACTATAGGTGTTCATGATCGTGTTTTCGATGTTAACGACAAAGTAGAAAATTCATTAGAACCAGCAGGTTAGTATGCTTAGAGAATCTCTCTTAACAAATGCATCTCTTTGGTGCTTCAGTACTTTTTTTCCTTTCTTCCTCTCCGCATGTTTGCATGTTAGAGTTGCTCTGCTTTTTGCTCATTGCTAGCAATGCTAATATTACTTATATCCTATCTCATTCCTCCAGTATCTTTGTGTAGTGCATGTTAGATAAAATGACTTTTCTGTTTTGGACCTGGGTTTGATAAAATGCAGTATTCTAATGTAGAGCCCCATCAGAATGCTAAAATCTCACTACTTTTTACCATATCTTCCCAGCATGCCGGTGAGTCACTGTGAATATTAATGGATCTGTTTTCAGATAAGACAAAAAATTTCTATTGTATATGCATATAATCTTTTTATATTATGTCCAGATCTGTGGATAAAAGTAATAAGACTATTGTCGCATAAAATAGTAACTAACTCAACATATTCAGTTTTCTCTAGAAAGTCACATGCATCACTGAAGTATTTTATTTTATTTCAAATATTGGCACTATTGTTAATAGTAATTAATTTGGAGAAGTATAATCATGTTGCCTCCTAATACCACAAATTCACACACCTGCTGCTCCCACAAATGTGTTAGTCTTTCCAGCCAAATGTGGTCTTTGATTACCGAGGCAAAATAGGTATTAAGGATAAGTAGGTTTTATCTATTACCAATTTCTATGTCCTCAAACTTTCTCCCATCATGGTTGAAGAAAAAGAAAAGCACTCATTGAAGCATGTAAGGTGTAGAATACTGTAGATAATGTAAACCTGTAAACTGTCCGCTCAGTTATCGATTCAGTCTGGCTGTTCGATGCAACCACAGACCGATTGTGAGGAGTGGGAGCCCCCGTGCACCATTCACCAAGGAGTGTCCCTCTGTCTGCTTGCCTTCCTGTGGGATCTTTTCCTGGCCCTATTTGCTCAAGATCTTTCCCGGTTTGCTTACCCATCTCCTGTGATCATCTCAAAGCTTAAGGGAAGTAAAATTATTTCCTCTCCACAGAAAGATGGGAGCCCCCTCCCCTTATGTAAACAGAGACTTTCTTTCATCTGTTTGCAGTAGGACTTCTTTCTTATGGCCCTAGAAACTGAAGGGTGTGAGCTGTAGTTTATTCTTCAAGCATTGTTACTGGGACCCACAGTCAACGAGCCTTAGGGAAACTTAGCCTGAGTAAATGTGGTGCCTCAGGACATACAATAGCTTCCACATTGTAACTGACAGGAGGAGTTAGGTTTTTCCCCCCAAGCATTCTTGTTTTTCCAAGGCAGGCATCTTACCCAGAGCACAAATGAGAGGTGTGTACAATAAGCTCTCAGAGGCCTCGTGGCTCCCAAGGGATCAGTTAGCTGCTTTAGAAAGTTGCATTTTAAAGGTGTCCTGGGAATCTGGAAGCATCAGTGTGGCTTTTCAAGGTACCAGGCTCCTCACAAGCTCGAGGATTCAGGCCATCGTGGGATCTGTGAGTTGGATGTGATGTCTTGTGAGGACCATGGAGTCTGCACTTTTCCTTTTATAACTGAGACTTGCCCTCTGGCTGATCTCAGGTCACACAGCTAGTTGGAGAGAGATGCAGGTTTAATATGCAGATATTATGTCTCTCAACTCCCATTCCAACGTTAATATAGCAGTAGGGTTCTCTTACCTGTTTGTAGAGAAGTTCATAAAAAGCACTTGTCTCTCGTGGCTTTGTCAATGTCATGTATAAAAGGACCGGCAAAGTTAGGCATATTCTAAACGTGAGTTACCCTGAGTATGATTTTCTGATGCAAGCTGTTACAGAATATAGGCATATCTTTCCAATAATCTCTTTTCCAGGTAAATTCCATTACCTGTCAAGAAAGCAAGAAGCTGTTTAAAAGCCTAACAGATAGTATGTTTTTCTCTGCTACTGAAGAAGCATACTGAGGACTATTCTGGCAACAGAATACCTTTGACTTCAACTAATGATAAAATGCAACATCCTGAGATGCATTCATACGTGAGCATCTCTCACTGTGTCTTTGAGGAAAGACTCTTTTTTACTGGGCATTTGAGGAAAGACTCTTTTTTACTGGGCATTTACAAGTCCTCCATAGCCCCCCAGTCTGTGCCCAGGTAACTGATGGAAGTTTGGAGTCAGCGTGGGGAGGAGTAGACACACAGGTGGACCTGCATAGGTATTCACACAGAAAAAGCTCCTGGAGGCAGCCCTGACTGTGCTTAGGGGCTTTCTGGTGAGCATCTTCACTGAACAAGACAGACAAGGTTGCCCTGCCATCCCTGGCCATGTAAATGCAGTAGCAAATCCGAGTACTTCACCTTATTCCTTCGAAAATGCGGTCAGATTTGTAAGCCCAGACTTTATAAATCCGTCAAGCCGGAAAGGTTTCTACTGCATGTTCTCAGCAATGTGTACTAATTCACCTGTCTTTGGAATGTGTTTGTCTTTGATGTTTGCTTGCACACTCTGCCTGCCAGTTTCCTATCATCAGGGACACAGGATGATCTCAGGGCAGACGTATGCTGCATAATGTGCTCCAAAGTGTTGCTACTGTCCCCGCAGTTAACTGCTGAAACCCTCACATGTGGAACCCTGTAGCCAGGAGGGAAGACTTGATTTGGCCTCTGAAGAAGAGTATTTTCTTCTCCCAAGTCACCTTGATTGTTAGACGTTCTCTTGTTTAAGTATAATTTCCATTGGGATAGATTTTGCTTATGAATTCCCTCTTAGAATTCTGAGATTGTCCGGATTTATTCAAATGGCAGCATGTTTCTCAGTTTGCTTCTCGGGGCCATAGAGTCTCTCAACAGTGAGGCTCTGTTTTAATCAAAGCATGCTTTGTAGAATCCGGAGCCCGCACCAGCATGTCGCAGGGAGAACAGAAGAACCGTGATGCCCTAATGGGACAGATTTTCTTCTTTGACGGCAAGATGGTACTTACTGGTTGATTGCTTAGAAAGGAGCTGATTCTAAAGATGGTTCATTATTGAGAACTGAAAAGCACATTTAGCCTCATGTTTCACTTACATGAAAAACAAACGCTTCCTCCTCGATGTCCTGTAGGTTCGTCCACCCTGTCTTCTGCTGCAAGCACGGAGCAGTAGACAGCCCTCACTGAGCGCCCTGCAGGGACAGGCAGGGCTGGTTCCTTCGAGCTCACACTGAGTACTCAGGGTGTTCCTTGGGTAGCTTTTAGCAGTGCGCTTCCAACCTTGAGGACAGGGTAATAGCTTAGTAAAAATCAGGTGGAGAAGGATCCGATAGCTGATGTAATTTCAGGTATATAAAATAAGTGGTATTTCAAAGTGAACTCGGCAATCCTCAGGATTTATGGTTCTTTTGCAATTAAGCCTGCCGTACTCTATTGTTCTGATTGACTCTATATTGGCGCTCTTAAGAAATGATTTGAATTTTAATTTCAGGGCTATTAAGGGCATTTACATGTACCTCCTGTTAAGTACAGACTTAATACCTCTGCAAGGGTGAGAAAGAGCATAGAAAAGAGTCCACAATTATTTGGCTAAACTGTGTGGGGCTTTATATTTTCCTCTGCATCCATTTAACCTTCCATTCTTGCTTTCTAACCGTTTCTTGTCTTCTAAGGTAATAGCCCCTCGATGCAGGTTTGCTGAGGGGCAGGGAGCCAGGAGAGCATAGGGACACCGCTATGCGAGGACAGGCTGACATAAGAACCTCCAGGGCAGAAGACTCAAAGCTGAGAAAACACATTTCTTAGTTCACGTTGGCATGAACGTGATGGACGGAAGCGGCCTCTGAGCAAAGCTGAAGCAGAGGGCGAAAAGCGGTCACTTTAGGACAAATAATAGAGGGCGTGTCTCCACCCAGTGAAGAAAAAGCATCCTTGTTGTGACATGTTGAGTGTTCTGAAAATATAAGTGAATTTTAAAAAACAGATAGTTAATCCATTAAAGGTGTGAGGTAGGTCATTCACGGGTATTTAGGGACTGTCCTCTGAGTTCTACAAAATTAAGAACCACCACTGGGGTCTCACCTGTCACCATTCTGACTAGTGAGCGAAGGCAAGATGACGAAGGCAGAGCTCCTACTGGAAGGGCCCCTAAAGCTGAAATACAATCTGCCACAGAACCCCACTGTTGGCCCCAAGAACGTGCAGTTCAGCGATAAGGTCGGCCAGGTGCAAGGAAGAAGATACCAGTACAAGAGCATAGCATGGCTCAGAGGCAAACCCCAATCTATCTTTGGATACTAATTGCCGCAAAGTTCCTGTTTTGAAGTTCAGCCTGTTAATCATGCAGATCAGGAAGGCTATCCAAAGTCAGAGGCGGCCTCACAGAACACTTTATAGCTAAATAAAAGAAGCTTACCTCACTTAATCCATTTTATTTAGAGGGAAATTTGCATCCACGCTGATAATTTATGTGCCAAGCTTCAGCCTGATAAAAAATAAAAATAGTTAAGTTCAAGTAATTTAATCCTGGGGATACAGGGTTTGTAATGGAAATAGCACCATAATTGATGCCTAATTGTAAGCAAACCAGCAGGCACTGGTGCATTGAGGGTTAGTAGGCATTACATATAGTTTATCTCAAATGCTGCTGTTTTGGCCTCTGATTTCTCATATTTGGAAATTCATCTGGGCTTCCAACAACCAGGCATTCAACACTAATCCTGTGACACTGCTTTCAGTGAGGAAAGTGGGCAGCCCATTCCAATTAACCACTAATATGCCAACGTAACTGCCCCCACCCCAAACGTGGTACCTGCGTCTCCGTGGCACCTTGGGTTTAAACATTACATTCAGAGATCTCAGGTCTGTGCAAGGTGCGTCTAACTTCTGGCAAGCCATGGGAGCGCACATGCCAAGGGTTACCGTGTGGGCATATGTTTTTCCCCTCAGTTTTTCAGAAAACTGTTGCTGAGGAAGTCCAATTTTGTCTGCCTCTCTTTTGTTCGCCGTAAATAATGAGTGATTATGCAGACATGAAAGTCAATGGTGGCACAAGGTTCATTACCTTACTTTGCAGAGGGTGGCGAGGTCTGTTAACAGCAGGCTGCTGCAAGAGAGTTATTAAGAATGTGAAATCTCATTGGAATGTGTGCTTTCTATTCGAACAGATGACACCGTACATGAGTCAGCCGAGCCATCCCGCGGTGAGAACGCGGCACAAACACCAAGGATACCCAGCCGCCTTTTGGCAATCCTACTGTTCCTCCTGGCGATGCTTTTGACATTATAGCACAGTCTCCTCTCGTCACAGAAAACATCAGGGTCTTGGAACACCAGAGATCCACCTAACTGCTCATCCTAAGAAGGGACTTGTTGTTGGTTTTTTGGCAAATGTCAGATTTTTGTTTTCTTTCTTTCAGCCTGAATTCTAAGCAACAACCTGGGGCCATAGGGGGGCTAAAGTAGTTGCCGCCTCCCTCGCCCCATCCCCAGCCCTTGCCCTTGACTTTTCTCACCCCTTCCAAATTAAATGGACTCCAGACGAAAATGCCAAATTGTTGTAGGGACGCTAGTGGTCATCAGCTCCTGTGCACTCTCCTCTAAGAGCTCACCTCCGTCAGCGCACTGTGTCAGCTGCGTGTGGTTGAGGAAGAATAGTGGCAGATGCAGCCCGTGGCGGCGAGGCCCGGGAGGGTTGGACTCTCCCGGACGATGTTTATGCCTTCTCAGTCTGGACTGCGGGACAATCATGCAGGGCATCATGTCACCATGTCAAGGCCAGAGGGGAGGTGTTAGGAACAGATATAATACCACACCATTTCCTCTTGGAGTGTGTAAATGAACAGGCTTCTCAAAGGTTGAGACACTGGCTTTTTGTTTTTGTTTTTTAGATGACTGTCTTAAAGCATTCTTGACAGTAAACGTGTGCTCCTTAAAAGAAGCCTTTTTTTCCTACGAGGCGGGTAGGGTGCCAGAAAGCTAGCACAGAGCAAGCGTGAAAGCAGAGAAAACGCAAGTTTGGTGGGGGTGTGTATGTACGAGTGCCTCTAATTTTTTGGTGACTGGGCAGTGTACACCAGATTTTTTTTCCCTTTGAATACAGATCACCATGGTGCTACAACTATTTTTTTTAAAGAAACTCAAAAGAGGCATTTTTATGAATAAAGTGACCTTCCCCAAGGCTGACAAGCCAGGGTTGACGAGTGCATAAGGGAATAGCTTTGGATACTCCTCTGGGGCACAACAGGAACCAAGGAAAAGATGCCAGTGGCCAGAGGAGATGGGATTTGGCTTTGCTGGAGCGCCAGTGTGCTGTGGCCTTTCCCCGACTCCCCCCAGTACCCACGTCTCGCTCCACACTCCACGACTACAGGGGCTCCGACGCAAACCCCTGTCACCTGGAGAGTCAGTCAGTACTACTTGGGAGGGCTAAAGGGAAATTTGGAATAAAAATTCCAAAGTGTGGAATAAAAAAATTCAAGTGTTGATTTTATATTCTTTCCCTTTCTGACACAGCCTGAAGCATTGGGGAACATGTGTTTATCTGTGGGAGATAAACAAGGTGGAGTCCCAAAGACTTTAACAAAATATTTTTTTAAAAATCCACTAGAATAGAAAATACATTATTTAGATATACTTTATGCTGAGAGTGAGTATATATGCTTGTCCTATTTAAACTTGTGAGAAAAAGTGGTATCCCTTGATACATTTAGAAATACAGGGGCTATCTTGTTTCATTGTGGGGATGGGGCTGAAGGAGAATAAATACAGGATGACCCTGTGTGAGGGATCTCAGCGTGGCCAGGAAGGGATGTTTCCAGTTAGTTACCAGGAAATGCAAGCCTTGGGGGTTTCTACTGGTGAGGCTGCCACGGACTCTCAGCTCCAAAGCCTAGACAGGGAAAAGCATCAGACCAATGGAAAAGAAATCTTGCCTTTTTTGCTCTTGCACGACAGACCAGTAGAAACCATGCCTTTTGAAAGAGAATAAGAAGTAAATGCGATGATCATCGTGTGATATGAAAAATTGGGAGAATTCCAGCAAAGGGGGGGGGTTAACATATTTTTAAAGTATGTGTAAAGGAAAAAAAAACAAACAAACCAAGGTCATATTATGGACAGATTTCATGAATGGGAATTTGTTAAGAATTGTGAGCAGCTCTGAATTAGGAAAAGTATGTGACCAAAAGGCAGCTGTAAAGGTACTGTGCCCTGGGGAGTTTGTACGCATGCTGAGATGTAATCTGGGCTTACCTGATCTGTGTGGAGTGGATGTCACTGCTGGGGCGGCGTGCCCTTGGAACCGGCGAGCAGGGTTGCCAGCCTCGCCCGCACCATCAGTCGTGTTCCTCTGGACACCAGGAACCTCTCCGGAGTGGCAGGGTCCCATTCACAGACGGCAGCCACCATTTCGCTGAAATAAAAGTTCACAGCATTGGATTCTTTTTTCCTTTAACTATTTATATACTCATTACTCTCAGTAATATCCACTACTACTACTTTTTATTAATAGTTACAGGCTTGTCGGCCCAGTGGGATTTGGATAGAGGAGAAAGAGATACCTTCTAAAATGGATCGATAGTCGGAACCAAAATAATACTGCATGTTCTATAACCACAAGGAAATCAAATGATCCTGTAATGATTCCAGTTAGTCATTACTACATTAGCAGTGCTAATTTCATTTTAGAAATGGTGACTTCTGTGGTTTTTCTAGCATTTGTCTCTAACAAATGATGAAATAATAACTCGTGGCCCTCTCCGCCAACTCTTTCATTTTTCACAGTGAAATTAGACCCCTTTACTTCACCATTGTGCCGCTACAAATTAAGTAAAATAAGATAAAAGTAGCAAGACTATCCACACCAGTAGACTGTGTGCTTTTCTACCTATAAGTGATGTAATTGTAGGTAATGCTTGCTGCTGAGTTTTCAGGATGATTGGTGTCAGACAGTTTTCACCTTGTCCAAAAAGTGCTGGTGGCCTTTTGTGGTGTCATTACAACCCTCTGGGGGCTTAGCAGGATGTCGATGCAACTTTGTAGCAGCTTTTAATTTCAAAAACAATTCAAAAGTCTGAAGGACAGCCTTAGCTGCCTCTCAGCCTGTTCGTCAAACCCCAGCGACCTTTGGCCCTGGTTGCCTAGGGCTTTGCAACACGAAGCAGGGAAATAAGGATCTGTCTGTTTAGTGGATACCGTGTATCCTTTAATAGACCAGTTAACAGTCCGTGTTAGTTTAGACTATTGTTTTGTACTGTACTTTCTTGGGTGGCAAAGGAAAGAAAAGTAAAACATTAAAAAAAACTGCGTTCTTTAAATTCTGTATTATTAGCAACCTCTGTTGTATATAGTGTTTGATAATAAAGTATTAATTTGATTCTTATGTCTTTTGTAAGTGAGAACAATAGTCTTTCAGGATACAAAACATGCATTGAGGCTTTGAAACATCCAATGTGTATACTTGCTTGAGAAGAGTCACAAATGGCCGAGACGCTGCTCCGTACAAGAGGTGCCTGTGGTCATCGCACTCCCAAACGTGAGGCTCCACCGTCTTGGGACCCGGGACACCATGGCTTTTTGATCACTACTGTGTTCTCAGTGTTTTCACGTTCTGATGTTGGTTGGAGCCCCATGTGGGGTTTCTTTTCCCCTCATCCCAGCCTGTTGGTTTGAAAAGGTTTAGGGAAGTTAGAAACAGTTCTGTACTTTGGTTCCATTTTCTTCATGGTGGTTTCCACAGCTTCACTTTGCCCCAGGAAAAATGACGAGTATCACACAGCCCAGCTATGGAAAAGAGGGCCAACAGTTCCTGGAGGAAGGTTAGGGGGGGGGGGGGGCGTTTCCCTCTGTTGCTGTGCAAGGAAGGGTTACACAGTACCTGTGGATTTCCAGGAACTATGCTCGTCTCTGGTGCCTTAGCAACGGCAGCAGCCATTTTTATGAGTTTTTCCCAAACTAGAAAAAACGGTTTAAACTCCTCCTTTCCATTCATTGCTCTCAGAGCTGTGGTCACTAGTTTCTTTTGAGAACCACCTCCACCAACACCCCGTTTGCCTACAAACCCCCTTTTATTTCTTGTGTTTATTTTTTTGTCCCTCTCCTTCCTCCCACGTTTTATTTTCCCTCAGAACCTTGAATGGGCAGGTCTGTCTCTGGTTTGGCATCACTGAGCTTTTCCCATGCATTTGCCCCTGAGCTGCTCGGATGTGAGACAAATCTCCCTACAATGGGCCTGCTCCCATTGTCTGTACAGTTTAATAGATGCTGGCATGTTGGAGGTTACCCATGAGTCAAAATCCGCTTTCCATGCTTACTCTTGACACCCCATTGAAGCCACTCATTGTGTGTGCGTCTGGGTGTGAAGTCCAGCTCCGTGTGGTCCTGTGCTTGTGCTGCCCTGCTTTGCACTTACTCACCGAGTGCTGTTTTGAAATGCTGACATTATATAAACGTTAAAAGTGTAAAAAAAAAAACCAAAAACCCACACACAGACAAACCCCATATGATCTGTATTTGTATATACACGTGTCCATACAAAGTATACCTAATAAAAATTAAAGATTTTCACCATTTTAATTGGAGCCCTCCTTCTACTTCTTTGTTCCTTGAATGACGCCTTTATTTCAGGGGCTACTTGTACTTTGCTGATTTTTCAAAATCTTTGTGGACAAAAGATAATAGGACATGTGCAAAAGAAGGCCTGAGAAGCTCAAAGAATGCAGGGTTAGCAATGGCCAAGTGTCGAGGCACATTCCGGTTATTCTCCTAAGAAAGTGGTGAGATTTCAGCCTTGTCTCTGTGTCTGAGCCGTAACAGAGGTGCTATGACAAGCCCTGCATCCTTAAATGACTATTAAATACGAGCGCTAAATATAAATTATATTTTTCTTTTGCATATAGTTTCCACCCAATCAAGGGAAAGACATACTAAACTTTTTTCCAGTAAATCTCGTAAACCTCTGAAAGAAATAATGGCCGTGATAATAATTCCTTCAGTACAACCCCAAACCTCAGTTCTCACTAACTGGCAGGGGAGAATTAGCTCACCACCCTGTGACCCTGGGCACGTCACAGTGTCTTTGGGACTTTGTTCCCTTATCAGTCGATAACAAGGGTGGTGTGATTTAATTGCTTGATTTCCTGAATGTTACCTTTGCTGGTACCATCAAGCCCATTTTGTATGAGTGCTGTGAATTTTGACTCTGATGATAACATAAGCACAATTCAAAAATTTCATCTGCAGAGGGAAAAAGCCTCAAATATCTGACATAATAGATACCTAATGCATTTCAAGACTTGGCTTTAATCAGACCATGTTAACATTAAACCCACTGAAAGCTTTTTATTATACTTAATTATTTGACAGGGCACTAAACACCAATTATAACTTACTGTAACCTTTTTTTGCTAATGAAGAATGACAGCTTTGTAGAATGAGGAATAACTCATATTTTTTAAAAATAAAAAAGATGTATTGGACCACCTATGTGATAGTTTCAAACCAGAACAGCCTTACGTTGTCATTATCATCATCACCATCATCGTCAAAAGCATTTAAGTAATCATGGCATTGTGCTTAGTGCTGTGCAGAATAAAGTTTCTGTTTCTAGTCTGTTCTTTCACAGGTTACAACATAAGGCAGACAATGTGTGAGCATAATATAGGGACATAAAGTAGAAAAAAATTCAAGCATGTATACTAATAAGGGAGATACTGTTTTTAAGTGAATGGGGAAAAGTTTGGGGTAACGATTAGGAAGCTAAGAGTTAAAGGAAATCATCTTTACAAATAGTCAAAATGGGCTTAAGAGCTTCTGACAAAGTAGAAAAGGGTTAGTAAAAAGTCACTGTAGGGTGTAAGAGAATAGTGTAGTACAGAGTGAGTTTTCTGAGTAGCTACAGTGGTAACTGTAGAAATGGAAAAAACCAAGACAACATCTGGTGTCACTGAAGCAAATTATGAGAATATTAGTCCAGAGAAATCACCACTGTGCCCTAAGGAAGTAGGGAAATGCTGAAAAGATGACCATTTCAGATTTTGTTTTAAAGAATCAGCTGCTCCCGGAGACAAGACCGCATCTCCACCAAACGGTGAAGTATCCAGGGTCTTACCAAGGTGAAGGTTGCCCAGCACAGATCACAGAGGAGGAACAAATGCAAAACATGCAAAGTTGGGGACTAAGGCAGCTGGAGAGTGATCTGTAAGTCCCTGATCAAAGGGCCAGTTCGCAATAGAAAGTGTTGCACAGTCTAATGGAAAGGCAGGTCAGAACAGAGTGGGGACTGCGAGCCCTGCTGTCTGAAATACACTTAATTTGCTTGGTGACAAAGTACTTGGGATGCTTGAGTCATCGAAGATGCTATATAAAAAGAACCGTGGGGGAAATTTTGGTGAGTAAAACACATCTATGTATTTGAATCTCTTATTCCAGTGATGGATTAGGATCTTTTATCTCACTATAGGTATCTGTATAATCTAGGTGTCGTAAATAAAAGTGTTCAAGAAAATTCTGATGAATTGCTTACTGACTGTTCTAACAATTTCTTAGTAATTGTTTGCAAAACAGTTTCTTAGACATTGTTTGCAAAGCTTAGTTTCATATTCCGCTGATATTATAAGCATCTTTCAGGAAAGCACTGGCAAAAATGCTGTGAAAAGCACTGTAATTTTGCAGTCTCTCTGGAAAACAAGTGCTTCTGAATGATTATAAATAACAAATCCGGCCAATATTCTGTATCAGTTTTTAGTTTGATATATTCTGCTATGTTAGTCAAGTCATTCAGTGGTTAAGTACACATGTGTGCCTATTTAAAAATGGAGTTGTAACAGCTGATGGGCCCTGTGAGCAGTAAATTTGCAATAATTGTGTGTCCTTTCCAGATAGATGATAAGTAAATGCACAAGATTTTCTTAAAAGGCAGGAAATTGCATTGCCTAAGGAATTGGTCAAGGGCTTCACCAAGTGTTCATTGTCTTGGGACATGTGATTCGCTCGATCACTCTAAAAAAATAGCGTCTAAGAGGAAAAAAAAGTGGGCTTGTTGTATGTTCCTGCACAGAATTTATGGAGCTACCGTTCATCACTAGACAGAAGAAAACAGACTAAAGGCCTCGTGTTCAGCCTGTCCCAACCTAAGAACCCCTTTGGCAATTTCCATTAGAGATTGTCACACTCTCTTCCCAGGAACCTCAGTACATGCTGAGAGTAAAACATGACTCCATTACTTTTCATTAAAACCCCCTCTGCCTCCGTTCCAAGTGTCCTGTGAGCTCTGCCATCTCACTCCCAGCAGCGGCGTCACGTGGGCTCCACCCGGAAGGAAGGTCAACAAGACAGTGTCTCTCACTTCAAATAAAAAGCACTTCAGTTCCTCATCTTATTCTCTGCCTTTTTGACTCAGTTTAATTCCTAAAGTTGGGATTTCTACATTAATAAAAGAAACCTTTTTAGCAATGCAACTAACACCCTGAGATGAGGATGCCAAGAGCGGGGGTGAGGGGTGGCCGTGGGAGGGACACAGGCGGGCCCGAGAGTTTGGGGGAACGGCACCACCTCACGGATGCTGCCAGTCAGAGTTCACGCTGAAGAATTCAGTCTGGGAGGTGGCTCCCTGAGTCAATAGTGTGCTTTGAAATATCCCGGGTTTTAGTCATGATTATTCAAGCAAGAACTTCATGTCACTTCGTAACACCCGGATGCTTGTCAATCTTGACAAGAACACAAAGAAAGGAATGAAAAAAAAATCTCTTAGAGAGATTACAATGGGAAAATAGAGCAAAATATTTTTGCATGCTGTTTTGTTCCCAAGTGCCAGGTGTTCCGGCAAACTGCACATATCATTTGAAATGCAGGTAGCCAAAGTCGTTTTCTTTCCCTTCCAGCCGTGAAACGACGCTTAGAAGAAAGAACATGTTTCTTCTTACGCACATCTTAGAAAATGCATTTTATCAACACCCTAGTATCCTCTCCTTTTTTGTTCAGCGCTTGTTCTTTTGGACCAAAAACAAAAAACAATTTATGTAGCAGAGAGTGTGGAACGTGTTAATGCCTCCAAAATTTGTGCTTTGCTTTTGCTAGATCTGGACATTATCTGCAGCAGACAGAACAAGAAGATCTGTGTCTTTTAAAATTTTTTCCTAGAGACAGTGTGCCAGCCAGACGCTGACTCCATTTACTTCTCCTGCCGGGAGCCGGCCTGTTCCTTCCCCTGGAAGGTGCAGGCACTTAAAATAGTCATCGGCTTTGTGGTTTAGTGAGAGTATTTCATCCCAAGATCTTACAGGCATGAAGAATAAAACATAAACTAATGGCTCTTTCCAACAAGCTTGGGAAGAATTACATGGCAAGGATTGTTGTCATTCTCCCCTGGAGAAACGAGACTAAAGCGACTTAGCTCAGGAAAGAACCCGAGTGGAGCTGATGCGAGAGTCAGACAGGGGCCCCGTTTGTGTTCCTCTTCATTCCCAAGACCTTGAGGAAGCGCTCCAGCCCAAGGAAAACCGATGAAGTGTTTACCCCGACTTTAGGAAGTTTCAAATGCACTGTAACTGGGAGAGGGGCACTAGGCAAACTTCCCAAATTTCCTTGTCTGTGAGTTGATGGCTGTATTACAAAA